GGAAGCGCATAGATGATGAGTTCAAAAAACATCGGGCTGAAACCCACAATCTTCTGAACAGAAGCCTGAAAGCAGAACCTGTGACTGGAAAATATAAAGGTTCGTCTTTCTCTTTTTGGGTCTCTTCTGTTTGCTTCCCCTTTCAAAGGCTAACTTGTTATCAACACAAAGCGCAAAATTTGCTGCAGCTTCTAAGCTTGAATATTGACCTGAACGTACCCATCTGAGAGGATGGGAATATAAGGAGGATCACTACAGGGCAGACTGTTCTACCCAGTAATACAGCCGTAAAAGTAAAGGAAATATTAGCTACTCCATGGAAGAGTGGGACATTGGAGATGCATTATGTCTCTTTGTGATGGCATGCCATCTACAGGACAAAAACCCGAGATAGAACATTTCTGCTTTACAATCTCATTGCCTCAACTACCAGCCTTTCAGCAGAGTGTTTTCAGGCTGCTAACTGTGGGTGACATGCTGCATGTCTTCAGGGCAGGGTCTTGGAGCACTTATCAGTGGCGGACTTTGATGCTGTACCTGGAGGACAGAGGAGGTGACTGTAGGCACGGTCAAAGAGGAAGGTCGTCAGATGTATTTTTCTGAAAAGTAAGGAGGGATCAAGGCAGAGGCTAAACGTGTCAGAGTTTTGGGTTGTTGTGACTGAAAGCACAGCCAACAACGGTGGAGCGAAGGGGACAAGCAATGCAATGGACTGATTTAATAATAATAACCCTTGCAGCTCATGAGCTTCAAGAATAATTGGTGCCATTTGTAGGCAAACACAGTAGCCAGTTGTCCAAATCAAGGTTCCATACAGTCATGAACTGAATTGAGGTTTGAATCTGATTTCTTTGGACATGGGACCACTATATTGAATTGTGTGCTAGAATATACATTATTTAAAATAATCATTGCAATTTGATGTTGTGCCACTCATATTGGGAGGATGTCTCAAAGCACTTCACAAGATATACTGTAACTTGTAATGACTGTACCTTGTGGGCAATTGGAATGAAGAGAAAAATATTTTCTTCCAACAAATATCTCCTTAAAAAACTTTTACCAGTCAATTGATTTTGGGTGGAAATACAATGTTTCATAATAGTTACAAGAATTATCAAATGTTTCAGTGAATCTGTTAGGAATCATCAAAACATAAATTGTTTCATATGTTTCTATCTCTATTCTTAAAGGTACTACATCAAATGCAAGGATTATTATTATAAACTGAACCCTAATAATGTAAATTATTTTTTGCTTTTGACTGTATTGAACAGAGTTACAGACTCAAGATCATAATCAGAGAAAGGAAAACTAACAGTTCAGATGTAATTATTTTACACAGAAACAGATGAATATGTGTAATTGACTACCTAGGGAGGCAGTGCATACAGATTCGGTCAACAAATTCAGGAAAGAGAATTTGATTTGAAAAATAAAGGATGAAAGTTAATGTTAATGGACAATAGAACGTTGTTTAAGGTAGAACTAGGCAGATACCAAAGATCTTTTCCTGTTTCGTATATTCCTATATATGCCCCCCGCCCCCCCCATTAAAGAAATCTGTTCCCAGTATCTTCCCATAACAAAACAGTGAATATTGCACAAGATCCTTAAAGGGGGTGGAAGTATGATCTTAGCATGTCACTGATGGTACAATGTGTTGTCACACAGTCGAGGTTGCACATTTACAGTAAAGTGGAGCAGGATTGATAGCAGGATTGTGAAAAAATTAATCATATGTCCTAGCAGTGTAGGTCAAGGGGTGCATGAACCAATGATGTTGAATGGAGATAATTGAAGGCACTAATTACAAAGGTAAAATGTGTCTGAGCTGTGGCTGCACTGCTGTGTATCCCATCCTTTACTGTAATAAACGGTTACAAATATAGAAACCTGATTGTCTGCAGATTGTACTAGAGTGGAGAGAAAATGCAGTGCATCCACTGACTAAAACTGTGTACTTTCCTCTCCCATACATAGAAATGCACATATATACATACATGCATTACACACATACATTTACAAATGCACACATCCATACAGACACACACACATTCACATCCATGGGCAAAACCTTGTGCTCCCTTTCCCCCAAACACAGACACACAAAAATACACATACATTTACACATATTAATTTATATACACATACAACACACTTCAGTTGTAGACACACATAGGTATACAACACAAATGCAAACACAAACACAGACAGCCACATATGCATGCACACACATACATTTACATACACACACACTCATACATTCAGACACTTTCATTAAATGAGTCTCTGTACAACCTATGTTTCAGAGCACCCATTTTTCTTATCATTTTAGCCTCAAGACAGTTGTCTTAAAATTTAAGATTGTGCAGAATTTTTTTTAAAAAAACTTTAAATTGAGTCTTAATTTGAAATCGAGTTGTCATCAGTTCCATTTAGAAATTGCAAAAACTCAGCTTCTGAATTAAAGGATTTTCCAAAATTCTGCGCAACCATTAATATGAAATGAATTGTCCCTCGACTCCTTAGCATGAGGAATCGTGAGCTTCAGCAGCCAGCAGATGGCAGCAATGTTACAGCTTCTGAACTTTTTAGCTTCATCCAAAAAAGTGCAATACTCCAGCAGCAATTTGGATCAATGTACTGACACAAAACAGTGGAGCCCCGTTACAACCTGGAAGTTGGGGTCCATAAAATCCCAACCAGCATTCTAATAGGGGCACAATCGGCGATCGGTGCTTTTGCATTTACTGCTCCTTCGTGCAAAAAGACAGCTGGCTCCATCAGCAAATTACATGTCTGTCCAAGTAGTGTGAAGAGGTTATTTGACTATGGTAAGGCATCACAGTGGAGACTGATTATGTCCTCAATTAAGGTTGAAGCACATGCACATTTTCAGGAGGTGTCATTGAACAGCGATTAGACGCATGAATCCTCCTGAGCCCAGACAGCTGTCACACTAGCAAGTGGCTTTTAACAACCCGCATCGGTGTGGGGAAAGATAATGTCACAGTAGCGGATGCTTTTTTGAGGTTGGACTGAGAGTGGAATAGGTAGAGCGGAGGCTCATGTGGAGTATTAACAGCAGCGCAGACAAGTTGGGCTGAATGGCCGTATCACTCTATGTAACTCCATTTAGTAAATATATCAGAGATCTATAAGAAACAGAAACGCCAACCACTAAACTTACACAGACTCAAGAACAAAGCAGCAAGAGGAGGCCATTAAGCCCAACAAACTTGTTCCAAAACTTGAACTCACAGACTAGGCTGACATTAGGATGACTGGGGGAGCACTACCACTATTGGAGCTGATGTCCCTTGGATGAAAGATTAAACCAAAGCCCCGTCTGCCTGTTCAGGTGGACGTAAAAGATCCCATGGCAGTATTTGAAAAATGCCAGGAGTTTCTCCTGGTATCCAGGCCAATAATCACCTAAATAAAATTGGTCACTCGCTCCATAGCTGTTTGTGGGACACTGCTGTGTGCAAGTTGGTTATTGCATTTGCCAGCAGTTACACTATCACTACACTTTACAATAAATTGGATGAAGCACTTTGAGACATGTTCCTGATGCGAAAGACGATGCATCAAATGTAAGGATTATTAGTTTACAGCATAGCTCCATATCGAATGCCCAATAAAGGTAAAGGGGCTCAGTTTGATGACGAGGTTAGTCCATTAATCTTATTCTACAACCATAAAATTGGCTCATCCTTATAAAAAGACATGAAGAAAATCTAAGCAACTAACCACTGTTAGCACTTTCATTACCAAGAATCATGTCAGCTCAAAAGAAAGAATGGTTCAGACAACACACAGGTTAACAATGTCCCCAATGACTAAACCAAAGCTTAAACACAGACATGCTCTGACCTCGAAAGCATGTGGGTATTAACTTTGCATATCACCATGACAAGCTCTTCCTGTGCTAACCCTTCATAAACAAAACAGCCTGCTTTAAATAACCTGTTAACACCTTTGCAACCTGTCCGCTCCCTCCGCTCAGCAGGCTCCAGCCTGGTCCATGTCCCCCGCCCGGCCCGCCCCACCATCGGCGGTCAGGCCTTCAGCTTCTCTGCTCCCACCCTCTGGAACTCTATCCCACACTCCCTTCGCCTCAATCCCTCCCTTGCTCCTTCAAGGCACGTCTCAAGACCCTCCTCTTCGATCGTGCCTTCGGCCACCCACCTACCCTCCAGTACTATTACTAATAATATAATAATAATCCTTACATTTTGATATAGCGCTTTTCACGTCTTCTAGACGTCTCAAAGCGCTTCACAGAATATACTGTAAAGTGAATTGACTGCATATTATGCTGGCACTTTGATTGGCACTTTGACCAACCCTAGATAGCTTTTCTTTAAACCATTATCTTTCCTTTGTCAACGTCACATTTAAATGGTATTTTAAGAATGGACTTTCTCAGCTGAAAAGATTGACATAGAAAATACACAGCTACTGCAGTTTGCAGTGATACAAGATGCCCTGAGACAAACCTCCCTACACACACACCAATATGAAAGGTGTCACATCGAACACATGGGTTATTATAAGGTACTAAATGTGGGTAATGCAGCAAAAGTATAGCTGCTACACTCAGTGGATAGGTGACTTCTGGAAAAAGGCCCAATGCATTGAAAATGAAGAGCAGAAAAGTCAGAAAGAGACTTGTGACTTGCTCCAGGTCACTATTATGTGCTACCAGCTGCCTGAGGGGAAGCAGCAGGTCATTGGCACATTGACTCAGCTGGGAAGTGACATGTGGTAAAGAACACCTGGGAAGAAAGAGGAAATTAAACACCTAGCAAAATCCATGCTTTCAACAGATGTTGGGAGTAAAACTGTGCATTAATTGGTGGCCTAGGGAGTGCATTATGAGCATTATATGCCTCAATTTCCACCCAGTCTTAGCTTACTGTATGAGCAGAATAAAAACACAAGTACTTTAAATGACTAGAGTACCAATGTTCCATCTGGAGTCACCCACTCACCTCCACGAATATGAAGCATGGGATGATGGAGTAACTCCTCTGAATATTGTTCACTTCTGTTGCCATTCTGATTCATCAGATCACTCTTCCAAGAAAGGTTTAAACGTCTTACAGACCTGCAAAAAAGAACGTCTATTACTAAATACATTATTTTAGTTCCTTTATACGGATCCAAACTAATTCTAAGTATGATAACCCAAGGGAGAAAAAAAACAATTGTCCTTGGTACTTTTACAACAAGTATGCCTCCATATCCCACTACTTAATTTGTTATACAACCTTTAGGATAGAGAGGCCTAAGTGGAAATGTAAAGTTTAATTGTTCAGTCTACAGTGCTTGCATTTTTTTAAGGCACTGAAGATGCAAATTCCAGAAAGCAGGCACCAACAAGGCTGAAAAGAACAAGAGAGTGGATAGGATGAATCAAATGATGATTAGATGAAGCCAGGTTTGGGTTGTAAAAACTATGGATTACGTGATGCAGAGAAAGCAGAAAAAGTAAGGAATTTGACAATTTGTCAACCCTAGTGAGGATCACTTTATATCATTAATCCAGAGACTCAAAATGCAGCAACAAACTGGAACAAAGTGCTACATTTAATGTCTCTTCTGTTCTGAAATGTGTCTCCCAATTTCTGGAGGGCTCTTGTGACAACTGATGTTTGATGCACAAATATCTTTATGCCACTACGAGGTTCCAAGCAGACTGTCACATGTGTGCAATCGGCCATTCAAAATTTATATTTGTAACTTCCACTGACCAAATCATGGCAGTGGAGATCGGGAGATGTGTCTGAATACTGGATAACTTTACTCTTGGTCCTATTCACAATTTCTGCTGCTGTTATAAGGGTGATAATAATACGTACAATTGCTATAGTGCATTATCAAGTCATTGAGATGTCTCAAAGAGCTTCACAAGGTTTGTAAGTATGAAAGTCTGAGAGCATTGCAATACTGACACAATGATGTCGAGACAACTATTCATGCCTAGTATATCAATGGATTCAGTGTTCCAGTGAGTTTTTCATTGTGGAACTGGAACTTGTATGTGAAGAGGCAACGGGTGTTTTGACTCCAATCGGGGTTAGGGGAAAGATTGGCACCGGGACAACCAGCCATTTATATTGGGCTTTTCCTTCAGAAGAGAGTTCATCCCCAAAGAAGAATGTAAAATCACCACTGAAATGGAGACAGTGTGATGGTTTTCATTTCAACAACAATTTGTTTTGAGGGGGGGTTATTTTGGTCAGCCAGGTGGGTGTCTGACACAAGAGGAAACCCATCACCATGCTTAAGAGCATCCAAACCATCTGAGATTTCCATGCATTTCACCTACACATGGAAATCACAGAGATAGATTGTTGGAAAGGAATGTGCACTCTCTCCCTGGAGGAATGCATCCTGCTTACCTAATTTTGGAAATTATTAGGCGCAGGTTGACAAGGGTCAAGGCTTGGGGAGTCCAGAGTGGGCATTGGAGTCTAACCAGCTGAAACCGCATGGCTTGTTATTGATATTGCTGTTTGGTAAGCTTTCCATCTGCTTGTCCAGCTCGGACCACCCCACCCGTTAGTGCTTTGGCTTGCAGAGTTAACAGTAGCTGAGTGGTTTGACGCCCTGACCCAAGTGATTGGTCTGCCCTCCCAGGTCCTGTCAATGAGCCAGGCCGGCTGTGCTGTCATCAGCAGTGCCCTGGAATACTGAGGATCCGCCTGGTTCAGGAACCGGCTTACCGAGACCGCCACAGAGGGTTGACTCCATTCCGTTGCCAAGCATGTCACCTTGGAGCCAGTTCAGCTCCTAGGAGACCCCAGGGCTCTGCTGATGACAGCGCAGCCAACCTGGCTCATCAGCAGGACGTGGAAGGGCAGACCAGTCACTGTTAATCCCGCAACATTTATGATGCATCCTACACGTCCAATAATGTCTTGGGACACTTTATTACGGTAAAGGAAATAGAATGAGTGTCCGGGATGATGTGTTTGCCACTTACGATCAGAAAGGGACACAATAAATCATGTTTCATCCAAAATTCATTTATCAGTGCTCATTTGTTTTGCTGGTGCTCAAGACCAGTTATCTCTTGTAAATTGAAATTCTGTGGACTATTGCACGCACTGCCCAGTAACAGAGTTAAAAGAGTTAAAATGAAGTCTCCACTACCCTCTAAATAAATTGAAAGTGTTCCATATCTATTCCCATCCATTACATACACTCAAGGTACATGAACTAAATTATTCAAATCCGTGCCTCAGCAAACCGTGGGTATTGTACAAGTCGTAGTAAGAGGTGTGTCTAAGAAAATTCTTTGAGCTCACAGCATCCGCTACAGCTTTCCATACCCAAACACATTTGTTATTCTACAAAAAAAAATCAGAAGAAGTGATTTACTGAATGTGAAAACAAAAAAACCTGGAAGTGTGGAAGCAGGCATTTGTGAATAATTAATCATAGAATCAAGTTAAACTGACTGGGATCCTGAAAGCTAAACACACTTTTTTTNGTCTGCTGAACCTGAATTCAAACCCATGTGATACCTTCTTTTATTTTAGGAGCCTGTCTTTGAATCAGAATTTTTTTTTGGTAATTAAATCAGTTAATTGTTTAAATGAGAATCACACCCTCCTCCCCTCCTTTATCTATAGACTTAGCAGATATGAGCCAGTCAAATACACCAACAACTAAACGTTCACATGTATAACTCAATAATGTGACTGATTAAGCGATTGCTTAATTTAATAACTGCTCTCAACATCAACATTCCCACTGAGCTGGTACCCAGTCACTCACCCTACCTACAGTACAAAACAACAAAATTACATTTGAGGAAGAAAATAATTTGTTTAAAAACAATGTTTTCAATAAATAGGATTTGTGTTTCATTGTTCTAAAATCTAGTATTGTTTTCAAAACGGCAGATCTTCTGTTAGAAGAGAAGATCTGATACACATGTATTGAGAAAACATGATTTGAATTCATCTTTTAAATCCACGGAGTAACAAAATGCAGGATTGCAGAGCTTGAACTGTTGTGCAAAGAGATGATGTACTATTTCTACCCTCCCGTTTGGTTTATTGTCCATTTCTGCGAGAGAATCCCTCACGCACATAACATACACACAGCCCTGGGAGATTCTAGTGACACAGACACACACACACACAGCCTCCATTTCTGAAATAGAGGAAACCCATCGAACAAAGTGTAGGTGAAATCAATGGGTAAAAGCACTCACCACCCACCCACCCTATTGTTTATCTGCCATCCCTGATCTGATCTTCATGGGGGATTGAAACTGACTTGCTAAAGATGTGATGGCATCTGACACTTCTCATCTCTGCAATCTCTTGATGTTAGGGGTGGGGAGATAGAGAAAAAAGCATGAGGTTAAACCCAGAAAGGCACGACTGACCATCACTTGCACGATTCAGTCTTTAGGAATTACAAACGTGGAGCTCGGCTGATAATGATCGACTCCAAGTCCAAAGCCAACTGCGAACTGGGGCCAATAATATTACTTTCACCATTATTTCAGGGAGGTGGAAGCTATGAGTGTGAAGAGAGACGATAAGTTTCTCACGAACTTAAAAGAAAAACTGGTTGGGTTCTCAGTTAACCCCCCACCCTAATGGAGGGGAACATTGCTACTTGATTTATTGGCTGAACATTACAAAGAAAACAAGGGGAAGGCAATTCCTAAAGGCTTTTTCGGGGGGAGATTGGGAGCAGAAATGGTCCTTCACAAACAATACATACATTGTTCTGGGCAACAACCGGTGGACTCGAGTTACACAGCTAAATAAACCGCGTTGAACATCACCAAATAATAACAATAATTATAAACAGATAACAAAAAGATAAAGTCAACAAAAAATACACATACGTGTTCAAAGAAAGAGAGAAAGAGAGAAAGAAAGAGAGAAAGAAAGAAAGAAAGAAAGAAAGAAAGAAAGAAAGAAAGAAAAGAAAGAAAGAAAGAAAGAAAGAAGGAAAGAAAGAAAGAAAGAAAGAAAGAAAGAAAGAAAGAAAGAAAGAAAGAAAGAAAGAAAGAAAGAAAGAAAGAAAGAAAGAAAGAAAGAAAAAGAGGAAAGAAAGAAAAAGAGGAAAGAAAGAAAGAAAAAAAAACCCAGAGAGAAATGGTAAGAGGCTGATTCCTGGGGAACACAATGGAGGGAGAAGGGATCCCAGTGTCAGATCCCAGTGCTCAGCTCTGCACACAGAGGGGGGGGACCTGGGTCTGGTTTAAAGGAGGAGGACACCAGCTCCCAACACACAAAAGGAACAGCGGCCAGGACAGCCCCATCATCCCTACCTGTGTCTGTGCAACCGTCTTGCTGCCACAACCCTGCCAGTGCCCTGCCAGGAGCAGCACCATCAGGCAGCCCACAGCCCCAGCAAAGAGGAGGAGGACTCCCTTTCCCTTTGCTGATGCCACCAGCAGCTCATCCTCAGCACCACCATCACCATCCAGAGCAGTCAGGGCACCATGCACACATCTGCCCTCTCCTCTCCCCTCCCCTTTCTCTCTCTCTCTCTCTCTCTCTCCTGCCACTCACGTCTCACTTCCTGTGGGAGAGGGGAGGCAGGGGGTGGGGGGGGGGGGGGGGTGGGGGTGGTAGAGAGAGAGAGAGAGAAAAAGAGGTGGAGTTGCCAAACAGCCAGTCTGCAGAAGTTGCTGAAGATAGAATTATTCCTTGCATTGTGCTTCGATAAAAGGGAGCGAGTCCCTGCTCTCTGATCCCGTTAGACGATCCCGATCAGACTTAGGCATTTCGTTTCTTTTTAAATTGATGTAAAAAGGCATGTCCTGTAGCTCAGTGGTTAGAGCACTCGCTTTGCAAGCGAGAGACCTGAGTTCATTTCCCGGCAGGGCGAAACCTTGGGCAAGTTTCCTTACTCCACACAGAGCCTAATAATAATCCTCCAAAACAAAGCAATAATAAATTGGTCATTTTCAATCTACGACTGTTTGTGGGGCATTGCTGTGCGCAATTGGCTGCCGCGTTCGCCCACAAATATACAGTCAATTCACTTTACAGTGTGTTCTGTGAAGCGCTTTGGGACATCCTCCCGACGTGAAAAGCGCTATATCAAATGCAAGGATTATTATTATTATGTAACAATTTTTGGTATCGTTCGACTTGCATCTTACGTTTGATAGATTTCAAAGCTATTCCTGCATTTTTGTTTCGTGATGAATTTTAGCAATTTAAGTTAATTTATACAATGTTTGTACAAATCCAGGAATAGCTGGTAACTAGGATGAACATTACACCGTAACATCTAAAGAAAGGCAACAACACTTGGATTTTAATAACAGTTTAGCCTCTATAATATAATTAGAACAATCCTTACATTTGAGATAGCTTCTTTCATGCCAGAAGGATGCCTCAAAGTGCTTCTCAGGATTTACCATAAAATATAAATAACATTTATATAATGCCTTTCACATCAGGAGTTTGTCTCAATCAACTTTATTGTGAAGTATCCTGACTGCATATTTTTTAGGTGAATGCAGCAGTCAGTTTGCATCCAGCAACATCCCACCAACAGCCACAAAATGAATGACCAATTTTATCCAGGGTATTGTTAGCCAGGACATCAATAGAGATTCCCATTACTTTTTGAATGGTGCAACAAGATTTTTAATATACACCTGAACAGGCAGACTGGATGGATTTAGGTGTTACATCAATGCAAGGATTATTATTATTAATAATAATACTCCTGGAAGCCTAATATGTCCTTCACTCACTTTTCTGTCAGCAGAATTCTTCTTTTAGAAATATTGTGTCTTTCTCAAACTGGCTCCACGGGGCACAGACTTGAGTGTTTATCGAAATGAAAAGATTTGGTTCTATTAAAATGCTCATCTGTAATTGCTCTACACTGTCCAACCTGTTTAAAGTGTGAAAATGCGAAGTGATATATCAGACCTGACACTAACAGTACTGAAATTGCACAGCAGTACAGCAAGCTTAGGTTCCAAAAAAGTCTAAAGAAAAATATGCAGAGAATTAGTCTCAGCATGACTGAAAACACAAAGTATTGAAAGAATTAAACCTCTGCTATGCTCTAGTAACTTTAAAACTTTGAGCACTAATAAAAAATGTTATCTTTTGTGTATTGAATGTCATAACGTTTCTGATTTTGTAGTAGTTTTAAAAATGATGAACTAAAATATTTCAGTCTTCTTACATTTTTGGATTCAGGTCAGAAATGCTCCCACAGTAGTGTAGAAAGGATTTGCTGTGTTCCTTAATACCCAGCAAATATATTCAAAGCATCAGCAAACATTTTTATTTCACTGACTCTTTCTCCTTGCAATGCAATTTCCTATCCTGCAACTATCTCTCGACCGTGCTTAAGGTCACCTCCCTCCTCCCCCCCCCCCCCCCCCCCCCGGCTTGGAGTCAGGCTCCGCCACTGTTAAGCGCTCTGCGACACTACCCTGCGTGGAGGGCACTATATAAGTGCAAGTTGTTGTTGAACTGTGCTTGGCTGTGATATCCCCATAGATCAAATCGTCTACTGAGACCTACTGTCCATCCTGCAAACAAAGAATAGTTACTTGCAAGAGATAAAGCAGGATTCTCTAGTGCTAGTAGAAACATATTCGCTTACAAAAATACATAGTCACTGCCTTTACAGTGTGAAGCACTTTTAGCTATCTTCTCAATATGAAAAACGCTGCATCACATGCAAAGTTTATTTTATTTACAAACCACACAAATTGCTGCCTTTCTAACCAAACTGCCACATTTCACCCAAGCCATGTTTTCTCCTTTTTCGTGTGTTCTGAGTTCCACGTACCCTATGCCCTGACCTTGATGTTTACAATTGACTGCTGTTTGCCAACAAGTTTGCAGTCACTACACTTGACAACAATTACCCGTGAACCAAACAAGATGTTTCAAGGCTATAGGAAGGTATCAAATGAAAGAATTTATTAATTTATGATGAGCACAAAACCAACACATATACTGCCATTAAACCTATCTCTTCAACCATATCTACAGTCACCTACCTCCTCCCCCAAACCCTATTTTCGAATCTGGCACCTTCTCTGTAAAGCTCTCCAGACATAAAGTGCACATGCATTATTCTATGTGAAGGGTGGTATATAGATATAACTTGCTGTTGATTTTTCAATGAGTAAAAAAGACCTCACTGATAAGAAAAAAACGCTGCCTGAGAAATCTTGTAGCTGCAGTGCTTTACATCACGTATATACAATAAGACAATGTAGCACTGGCTAATTAATAATGTAGAGTTAGTTGTTTGCATAGAATAAAAATGTCAGTTAGTGAGGCATAGCACTATGGCTCTAGCACTGATTCTCACATGCACATTTAATTGCCATAATAAATTTTCCACCAGGGTATTCCAAAAGAATGTTTTATGCCTGAACCCTTGAATATTTTTCCTTGCAGAGCTTCTAATGGTCTCATCAAGCAATGCATGAACAATACAACAATACAAATTTACATTTAGATAGCACCTTTCACATCAGGAGGTTGTCCCACAGGAGGCATGAGAGGAGTTTCTCCTGGTGTCCTGGCCAACATTCCCCTGATAAAATTGGTCATTTGCTTGATCATTTGTAGGAAATTGCTGTGCGCAAATTGGCTTCTGCATTCCCCTACAAAATACACAGTCACTACCTTTGCAGTAAAATCCAGTGAAATGATTTAATATATTTCGACAACGTCAAAACGCACTGTATCAAATCGAAAGATTATTTATTTATTACTTATTTAAATGCGTCATATGTGGCTGAAAGGGTAATTGGGGCTGGTAACACACTCATGTCGTTCATCCAAACTAATCTTATGGTGTTGTGGAAGGATGAGATCAAATGAAGGCTGAAGGGCCTTCATCCAAATGAATCATTGTTGTCATTCGGATATCTCTTGTTAGGAAGCACACAAAAGTTTCCCAACAAGGGGCCTTCACCCTCTATTTTCTGGCTTTTACAGATAGAGTGTGGGATAAATGGAAATTGCACAGTGTGGGCAAATTGACCACAAGGTCGCAAAGTTGCAAGAAAGATTGAGTTAATGAAGAGTGCTCAGATTATTTGCAGCTTCTCATTGCAGAACCCCAACTGTGAATGCATTAAATAATGAATCAAGATTACATTGGGGCACAGAGACAAAGGAAATGGTTCACTAATTGTTTTTACATTAATCATAAAGCCACTCCCCATGTATAGAATAAATACAATTTACATTTCTATAGCACTTTTGCACATCGGCAGGGCTTCTCAAAGTGCTTCCCAAGCTGAGAGTTGAATCCGAGCAGGTTGGGGAGGGGAAAGCTGACCAAAAGCGCAGTTAAAGAGGTACATTTTGAGACATGCCTTGAAAGAGGGGAGAAACAACAACAACAAAATTACATTTAGAGAGCGCCTTTCACGTTGGGAGGATGTTCCAAAGTCCTGAACAGTCAGGTGTCAGGGACGGAGCATGGGGGAGGGGTGGTGTAGGGTTGAGGGAAGGCAGAGAGGTGGGAGGGAGACCAAAGGTACAGTCGAAGAGAAGGGTCTTGATACCAGCCTTGAAGGAGGCAAGGGAGGAAATGAGGCGAAGGGAGTGTGGGATGGAGTTCCAGTGTGTGGGGGTAAAGAGGCTGAAAGCTGGAGCCCGCTGAACAGAGGGAGCGGGCAGGTTGGCAGGGAGTCAGCAGGTCAGAGAGGTAGGAGGGGGCAAGGCCATGGATGGCCTTAAAGATGAGGATCAGGGTCTTGAACTCGATCCTCTGGGGGATGGGGAGCCAGTGAAGTCGGGCAAGGGTGTGAGTGTTGGGGTCACGGAGCCTGGTGCCTGGGAGTACACGAGCTGCAGAGTTTTGGATGATTTGCAGTTTGTGAAGGGAAAAGTTGGGAAGACCGATGAGGAGGGAGTTCCTATAATCGAGCCTTGATGTGACGAATACGTGAGTGAGAGTTTCGGCAGCCTGAGGGGTGAGGCAGTGGCGGAGTTTGGCAGTGTTACAGAGATGGTGGTAGGCAGTGCCGGTTATGGCGCAGATTGGGGGAGAAAGGACAGTTCAGGATCAAACAAGATACCAGGTTTCTGACTGGCTTAGTGAGGTTGAGTGTGCAGCCGAAAGGGAGCTAGTCAGAGGGACTCCAGGATAAAGTTCTGAGGGTGGGGACAGAATGGCTGAAAGGCTGCCCACCAATAGTGGTGTTGATAAGGCAGGAGAAATGAAGCAGATCAATATTCACTCACTTAGCGAAGTGAGCAGCCTGGCTGGCATGGTAGGAGGAGGTTGCAGAGCGTTTTTTTTGGGTGGTGGGGGGTAGTGGAGAGGTGGAGGCTGAGACGATGGAGGGATTTGGATGTAAGAATGAGGATCTTGTTCTCAATTCCTGGGGAGGTGGAGGTGGGGGACGTGGGGAGCCAGTGAAGCAGAACAAGGTGGGATAATACATGTCACTCGTTTTGGTTTTGTACCCTATTACATTTCAGGCATCTTAGTGCTTCAATGGAAGGTGGAGATCCTGATACGCCAGCTT